GGAAAAGCTGCTAGTATTTCTTCCATGCAGGCTTTCTTTTTATATCTCATTTAATTCTCAGAACAAAATTATGAGGCAGGCAATTTTATTATCTCAAGGTTATATCTGAGAAAACAGGCTCAAGGTCCCATAGCTGCTAATGGGGAATCCAGGACTTAAACCCAGGTCTTCCCAAGCCCTGACTGGCTCCTGCCCTCCCACCTCCCTAGGGTCTTGCTCTCAGCTGGACAGTCCTCCCAGGGCCTTGACCTCCCTGTGATCAAATCTGGAGGACCCTGACAGGAATTAGTGGGCTGTCTGCCCCTCAATCTGGACACAGACGACACATACCTTCAGCCCCCAAAAGCCCCCACCCCCACCCAGCATGAGGAGGAATCTGTGAAGCAGGGAGAAGGCTGAGCAGAAGCCATAAGCCAAGCAGACCGGCCACCACAGCTGGGCCCTACGCTCCCTACAAAGGGAGACTTAGGATTTCAGGAAATCCAGTTCCAGTTTTCACTTCCCTAAAGCATGGGATGTGGCATCCTCCAATATCTGAGCTCTCCTCCGCCTCCTGGGCACACAGCTAGACCTTGGCCAGCCCCTTGGAATTCAGTGTGGCCTTAGGTTCTGGCCAACAGGACTGGGGCACAGGTGGTATGCCCACCACCCAGGCCTGGTCCCTAGGATTCTCCACCCTTCCCCAACTGCCAGCTATAAAGAGTGGAGCCACAAGATGGAAGGAGCCTAGGTCCCTGAAAAACTGCAAGGAGCAGAGCATTCCCCACCCCAGCCTCCAGGAACCCACCAGGGACTGTGACATGAGGAAGAAATAAATATTTTTTCTCAAAGCCACCAAAGTTTAGGGGACATTTGTTATAGTGGTTATAACACTTGTGACAGACTGTTTCCTCCTATGTAAAGTGGAGAAGATAGTTCTCTGCCCCTCCCCCAGCAGCCCAGGCCCACACAGGTTGGTTATCCTTGAGGACAGCAGGTTATCCGTGAGCACGTCTGACTCGCACTTGAGTAGCAGACACTTGGGACTGAAGGAGGACTTCTGGTCCTGGACACCCTAGTTCTAGCCTTGCCGCTGAGAACCACGGTGAACACCCCTCCACTGCATTCGAGGCAAACTGCTGACATCTATCCTGGTACAACTTTGGGGTGGGGGAAGGGTAGGGAGAGAAAAAAAAAAAAGAAAATAGCAAGATTTAAATGCAAACACCTTTGACAGTTGTAAGAATTGTAGGGGGGAAGAGTTCACCAGTGAACGGCTGGGGACCTCACACCCCAGTTTCTTAGAACATTCATTACACGATCTTTTATACTACACCAAAGTCCTCCCATCTCCCGCAGCTTCCAGGAACCGCTTTGAGATCCACAGAGAAGGGAGGTAAGTGCATTTCCAAATGCAGTTGTGCTTCAAAAGTCATTTGAATGCACGTGTCACAAACAAGGTGAGTCCTAGGAATCGTTCAGAAGAAAAAAGGGGAGAATGACACCAAAATCTGTTGTGATGGTTGACCCAGGGAATGAAGCATCTAACTTTTGGTAAGATGAGGTGTTTAAATTTTAGAATAGGTGACCTAACATTCTGCTGACGTTCTGAGCTTATTTCATCCTCAAGAGCCCAGGTGATACCCTCATTCCGGATTTGGCCACTGGGTAGATTTAGTGGTCTTAGCTGAGATGTGGGAAGAGGGGAGGAGCAGGTTGGGGTGCAAATGGGATTGGGGGTTGGGGGTGGGGGAAAAAGAAAACAAGTTCAGCAGCTTTGTATGCTGCAGTTGAGGTACCTGCAGGAGTGAGTGAATGGGGAGACAGATCTAAAGCAGGTTTGCAGACACTCAGCTCTCTTGAGTGGCAGACATGGCCTGAGCCATCCATTTACTAGAGAGGACAGCCAGTGTCCCCAAGACACCTCCCACAGTGGCTGGCCCTTACACAGGTCACCTGCAAGATGCTCTACCCCCCGCCCCCACCAAGGCTTTGCTTTTCACTGTGATATCTTGGTTCCTTTGGATTCCCTGCCTGGGTCTTATCTTAAAAGTGAGCTCTGCCAGATGGATATGAGAGGGAAGGAAACTTGGAACGGACAGGGTGCTCAGTACTCTCCAATTCTTTGCACACTGGACCACAGCTGTGCTAATTAAACAACAACAACAACAAAAACAAACAAACAAAAAAACAGGACAAAACAAAAATCTAAGACTAGGAAAAAACACAATGGTTCTTCCTACTGATAGCTGAGTGACTGCTTAGCCCCAAACACGGCCTACAAACCTGGGTTCCTTGCAAAGGCACAGCATGGCTGAAATGGCTAGATGCTGAGGGTGAAGACAGGCGATGACAGGGCTAGGGGGTGAGGACTGGGAGGCTCTGATGGAGCCAGCACCATCCCTGGGTTTCCCAGTCCTGCTGAGCCGTCCTAACCTTGGATGTGGACATGCTCACTTGTGGGCGGTGTGGGGACAAGCACTCAGCCTTAGGCCTGCCCCACTGGACCCAGCCCGTCACTCGTAGGCCTTAGGCAAGTCCCAGCACTTACTTCCCGGGGCCTCTGTTCCCCGTACCAGGAGGCATGGGACCAGATGGGGTCCATCAACCGTCCAAACATGATGTCCTACAGTTTTCAGAACACATTAGCTCCCAGACGTTGATGCTCACAACCAGGCCGTGCCACTCCTGCTTCTCTCTTTCCCTCTCCAAGAGCGTCTAATGCTGTTTCTTCCACAGACCATCCCTCCTGGGCTCCTGGTCCCCTGTGGCAGCCCCGGCTTCCTTGGCAGATGAGGGCCACTCAGCTGCTTCCGGGAGTTCAGGGGCCACCTCTCCAGTTGTGTTGGTTTCTGATAGGATCCACACTCCAGGCAAGAAACAACCCCCTCTTGCCTCCCCACCCCTATGGCACAGAAAGCAAACAGACCTTGAACTCCAAATGCCTGAGGCTCTCCACAGACCTTGAAGCCTTGTTCCTAAAGGGACAGGTAAGTAGATCATTTCATGGCAGCATGGCTCAAAACTTAAGCTGTATTACTTGTGACCCAGGCAGCTTGGCCTGGTAGGGACAGGTAGCCATGGATAAAATCCCCTCAATCATAAAAATTATATTAGCAATAATTTCTTAGGTACATACTCAGTAATCTGGACCTATTTAAACACATTATCTAATCTCATTTAATACTTCAAACAGCCCCACAAGGAAATGGGGTGTTATTACCCCTAACTTTACAAAAAAAGGCTCAGGGTACCCACTGTCCCATACAGCAGCCATGGCCTGGCAGGAACAGGCACACCCCAGCCCAGGTACCCACTCATTAAAAGGCGAGCCCATCTCCCTGGAGAACTCCTTTTCGAACACATTTTTCTTATGAACCCTAGTAAGAAGTAACTCCAATAACAAAATACGGTGGGGTTTTCTTATCAGCCCTTGTAAGAGCAAAACACTGCACACAACCAAGACGTCTATCCACAGAAGTGTGATGGGAATTGTTAGCAGCATCCACAGCGTTCACTCCACATCCTATAGAACTCTGTTTCCTGGCCACATGGTTTAAGAGGAATTAACAAGCACAGGGGAGTGGGGTATCTGGGGGTCCCTTCTTTCAACGGCTTCACCACCACACCACTCCCATCAGAGGGAGCTAGAGGTTTGTCCATGCTGAAGTCCTCCCTTCCTCAGATGATGAGGATACCGTGCAAGGCAGAACAGAGAGAAAACGAAACCAGATCCTGTTGACGTCACTGAGCCATTTGGACTAAACCAAGCCTGAAACTCACCCCACCTCTGGACTTTCCAGTTTCAGGAGCCAAAAACCTCCCCTCATTGTTTCGGCGTTTGAATTAGGCTTTCTGTTACCTGCAACTGTAAACATACTCCCCTGGTACAAGAGCAAGGTCCATTTGATCGTGGCACAGTCCCACAATGGATGGGATGACCACAAAAAAAGCACCATGAATCAGTAATATTACGTAAAATTAATCATTGAATACTATGTAAAACGATTCCTGTTTGTGCAAAGATCTGAATACACATGACATCTTCTGGAAGGATACTTACTTGCGGTTGCCTTTGGGGAAAAGAAGACATACTTTTCACTTTACACTCTCCTGTGTTTAGATTACTTTTACTTATGCATATTTAAAAAAAAAAGACTAGTTTAAAGGTTGTTTGAGGTGATAACATTACAGTTCAAGATGATCGTTTATTTTGGTACTAATTAAATAATGCTTTTGAAGCCCCTGCTGGAATAGAAGCTGCACAGCACAGGAAGAAAGCTGAATGAAGAAATAATTGTCTCAGATCTTTGTAAGGAATACTCACTCCTTCTCCAAAGCTGGGATCCCTAAAATTGGTAACTTCACCAGAACAGTAGCTACTTAAACGTGTCCTTCACCTTTGTTCTCGTCCCAAAGTTACACAGCTGCCCCAACTCCACAATGCCCACATGACGTGTTCTGCAGGGGCGGGTCTGCGGCCATCAGCTCCCCCAGAGCAGGCTGGGTCAGAGGCAGCCAGTGCATGGAGGTAGGAAACCGCCAGTAACCCCCTCCAGAGACAGGCCAGCAAGTCAGGTCACGCAGCTCATACAGAGGTAGTGTTCAGACTCCAACCCAGTGTCCCCAAGTTCTTTTGCTTGGATCAATAGTACTGCCTGGGGCTGGACAGAGACAACCTAAAATAATGTTTCCTCCAGGCCTATGGAGTCAGAGTTCCTCCAGCTTACACTTATAGCTGGGGGTAGCTAAGCCACAAGCCAGCTTGTTCCAGCTGTAGCCTGCACAGCAAGGGCAATTGAAAGTGGAACCACACAGAATCTTAAAAAAACCCACAACAAAGAACACTTAGTGAAATGCATGCCAGATTGTGCGGATGACAGATTGCCTTTACTGTCTACCCTTGTGTAAGGTCCAGTCATGCCCTATCTCACTGGTTCTTCTGGCAGCCAAATTCACTATCGAGATGCTTGGCACCATCTTGACAGTGACCCAAAAGAAAAATGACCAAAACAACCGCATTAATAAAAAAGATATATTCCATAAAAGAGTCTAGCAGTCAAAGAGAAGCATCACACTTCCTAAAAACACAAGCATTCTTCTTCCCCTACTCTATAGAAAATTGGAAAAAACAAAAAGTATATCATCATCATCATCATCAACAAACGGCCACCAGTACACACCACACTAGCATGTGCACTTCGGCAAGTCGCTGAAGGAAGCACTCGAGCCCTGAACGAAGAGGACAGACCCGGTACAGGCTATGGAGAAGCATTAGAAAGTAGCCCAGCCAAAGATGGACAAAGGCCCAGCTATCCCTGGGGGGGTTGCTCAGTACGTAAGACAGACTTCATTTCCAAGAGCAAGCCCCAGAATAGCCCTGACAGGAAGGGTGGACCCCGTGACCACAGATATCCCAGTGGGGGTAGTAACCACGAAAGCTAGAAACAAAACCTCCCGAACTTCTATGCAGCTGCAGCCTGGGGTCTGCGGCCCAGCACAGGGCCTGGCTGCACAAGAGCTTCTCTCTCCACCAACAGGCGAACGTCAGACTGGCCAGCCCTTGGCATGTGGCTGTGAGAGGAGCCCTGGCTGAGTTTCCAGGCTGTCCTTGCAGTGGGGAGTGAGAGGCAGGATTCAAGTTGTGAGTGACAGTTTTAGTAGCACCAAGACCAGAAGTCAGTGAGGCCAAGCTGGGGAGTGGTGTCGGGAGGGGGTGCAAGGAGGAACGGGAGCACATGTGTGGACGGGAAGGAAGCTGGTGTGGGTTGGTTCTTGAGACACTGAGGAGAACTGGAAGGGACAGCTTCAGTCCCAGACACCAAGGCTGCTTAGAGGACAATGCCAGAGGAAAGGAAGAGGAAATGAAAAAAGGGTGTGAGAACATTCTTACCCCTATAAATAGACTATTTACACAACTTTAAGAAAAGGAGCACTGGCTCTCAGAGAGAACTGTGCCCACTGCCCTGGTGCCATCAGGGCTTAATGCTGTCAAGAACAGAGGCAGTTCTCACCCTGGGAGAATGGCTGATGCTCCTGGGGCAGCAGACAAGGCACTGCCATGCACCAGTCCACACAGTGGCTCAGGCTTACTTCACTTGGACATAGCTGAGGATCCTGCAAACGACCCTGACGAATGCACCGCCACAGGCCCCGCTGGCACTCAGAGGTCCACTGGGGCCCTGTGCTGGTTGACTTGATGGAGAGGAGCCTTATCCATGCCTGCTGGTCCCTCCCCACATCTCACCCACACATGTGGATGGCCTCCAGACCAGCGCCAGTGACCCAAAGCAGACATGTGGACATCAGTGGTGAGGAGGCCAGGTGTCCTGCAGACGCACGTGGGCTCCAGGAGGAACGACGCAAGACCTCCTTGCAGACACAGGAGCGCTGTCTGTCCCTCAGAGTCACCCACCCCCACCTAAAGACACATTCTCTGCCCCTGGGTAGACCCCAGCAAGGATGTGTCACAAGTGTGGGCAAGTCAGAGAAGGGGCCTCTCAGTCTTCGGCACCAGCAAGCAGAAACAGAGAGGTCACATCACGCTGACGCTGAAGACGGGGTGCTGGCCCCTGCTGAGCGTGTCGGCTTCTCTCCTTCTGGACATAGGTTGAGGACAGCGGAGGGCCGTGGCCTCCACGGCACGGTTCGGCTCTGCTTGCTCGCCTCTGTTCTCAGAAGTGATGGCCTGCCTTCACAGACTCAATGTCGGAGATCAGGGTCCTCGCCAGGAAAATGCCAAATATCTGAAACCAAAGCCAGCAGTTGGCGGCCGTCAGTGTCAGGGCCCAAAGGCAGAGGGCAGGGACAGAGGACACGGTGGTGGGTGTCCCGTGGCCCACCACGCCCTCACCCACCTTGCCATGACTAAGGACACAGAGAGCCATGCTTGGGCAGGTAGGAAGCCACCACTGACCCTGCAGTGGAAGTGAGTCCGAGGGTCTAGTTTACTCATTACTAGAGCCTAGAAGGAAGCAAAATGGACACTCTGCCCTGCCTCCAGCATGACTAAGCCCGTCACACACCACGGTGTGAGACACGCTTGTCCCTGGGTTAAACCAAAAATAACAGGGTCACCCTGACTGGTTCCGATTCCCAAAATAATAAATCTTAAATGTTTCCCGTAAACCTGAGTTCCACAATAAAACCAAGGCTGTCCCTGATTTTGGCTGTCCTGATTTCTGAAGATACATCCTGACCTTGGGGAACAGGAAATCGTAAGGGAAGACAAGCTGTCTTTCTACCATAAACAGACTAATGTGAACCTGGTAACCTTTGGAGTCTGCTTGGACTTTTTTTTTTTTTTTCCTTTAAATTCTTGTCGTTTGCATTTGACAAGCCAGTCCTTCTGAAGTCTGATTCCCTTATGTGCTTTACAAGTAAATTTTTCCTTTCCTTTTCTAGATGCTTCCATCTCTCAGTCTTCCTTTGAAGGAAGAAGGTGGGTGTGGGTGGCTGGCGGCCCCCTTCTTCAAGGCTAGGTCGGAGTCAAGCATTTTCTAAATGGTGTTTTCCACATAAGAATGGCATCAGCTGAGCCGGCCCGGTGGCGCACTGGAGAGTGCGCCGCTTGGGAGCGCGGCGGCGCTCCCGCCAAGGGTTCGGATCCCATGTGGAGACCGGTTCCCGCTCACTGGCTGAGTGTGGTGCGGGCGCAACACCGAGGGTTGCGATCCCGTTACCGGTCAGTAAAAAAAGACAAAAAGGAAAAAAAAAAAAAAAAAGAATGGCATCAGCTGGGCCGGCCCGGTGGCGCACTGGAGAGTGCGCCGCTTGGGAGCGCGGCGGCGCTCCCGCCAAGGGTTCGGATCCCATGTGGAGACCGGTTCCCGCTCACTGGCTGAGTGTGGTGCGGGCGCAACACCGAGGGTTGCGATCCCGTTACCAGTCAGTAAAAAAAGACAAAAAGGAAAAAAAAAAAAAAAGAATGGCATCAGCTGTCCTAGAAGCTTCTCTTCACAGCCCTGGGCAGCACTGGAAACTCCTGGTTTCTCTGATATCACTATATTCTTGACTTTTTCTGCCAGTTCTCCTCCTGGCAGACAACCGGCCAGCCTGTTCACCCCAGACCGCACTGCCCCCTCGGCCACCGACATCCTTCCTTATGCGAAAAATGGTTCACCTCAACAGGGGAAAGGAAGCCACAACAGGCAGTGGGCCGCAGAGGGTCTGGTGTGGATAGGGAGGAAGAGGCCCCGGGGTGACCACACATCCTTGGTCTCAGGCCATCTTCAAGCCCCAGCTAAGAGCATTGCCCCCCACTCTGTAGCTCTTGATGTCTCCCTAAAACCTCCCCTCCCTCTGGCCAGCAGGCAGGGACCCCAAAGCAGATAACAGCCCATCCAGAGTACACTCCGAGCCCAACCTCCAGAGAGGACTGCTGATAGGACCCGTACAGGGACACAATCCCCTCCCAGCCTGCCCCCATCTAGAGGGCCTCCCTTCAGGTAGCACGCCATGAGAGAGGATCTTCAGCCTGTCCTGGGCCCAGGACACACAGTACTGATGGGAGCCACCATGCTCCTGGCTGACTTGTACCACTCAGCCTTGGATATCCCACTGGATTTCTTTCTTCTGTCGGGTTAATACCATGCCCACGCTGGACAAGCATTCTATGTCAAGGGCCTACCTTCCTCAAATGAACAAAGGCCACCTGCAGAGGTGTTCCTGTGGGCTCCTGCACCATACCTGTAACAAGGAGATGGCGATGAAGACGCCAGCCACGATGTAAATGTTCCGCGGGAGCCAGCCCTCCAGTGCTTGGATGCAGCCTTTTGTGAAGATGGACTCATCCCACTTGCTCTTCAGCTGCAGGGAAACACCACAGGGGCCTGAGCCTGCAGCACACACGATGTCCCCACCCTGGGCTCCTAGAGAGCTCCAGCGGGGACAGAAAAAAGTGCAATGGAAATGAGGGATCTGGATCCGGGAGGTGGGCGCCAAGGATGACAGTGGTCTCCAGGAGTAACATCTACTTTTCTCAGTCTCTGCCCCTTGCTGGGCAGAAATTTACTGCCACTGCGATGACCTGCCCAACCAAAGGCTCCCTGGCTGTGATCTTTAACCCACTGCTGTTTGGGCCTCCAGAGATTCAAAGATCAATTCGGTCAGCACACCCAACAAAGCCCACATCTGGAGCAAGGGGAGGGGCTGGAGGAGGAGGATGTGCCTTTACAGGGAGAGGAAATGGGAGAAGGGGATTCAGTCTTCTGAGTCGCAGCAGTTAGCAGGAGAAGGAGGAGACAGTGGCTTCTCAGAGTGTGTACACCACAGGTAAGACTGGATCCCAGAGACAGGGCCAGCAGGTCATGGTCACCAGCCAACCGGCTCCCTCCAATGCCAATCCCCAGAGGAGAATCAGAGGATGGGGATCCTGTCCCAGCACCACCCCACCCTGACCCCCACACACAAGCAGCCCCAGCTCCCCTCCCCTATCAGCCTCCTCCGTGGTAACACTGATGGAATATTAACACACTTTCAATGGTGTTATGGGCTGAATTGTGACCCCCCCCCCAATTCATATGTTGAAATCCTAACCTCTAGGACCTCAGAATGTGACAGTATTTGGAAATCGGCTCTTTGCAGAGGTAATTGAGCTGAAATGAGGTTATTAGGGTGGGCCCTAATCGAATATGATGGGTGTCCTTATAGAAGAGGTTAGGGCACCAACAGGCACAGAGAAGGACACCATCTACAAACCAGGAGAGAAGCCTGGAGTAGACCCTTCCTCAGAGCCCGCACAAGGAACCAACACCGTGACCTTGGACTTCAGGCCTCCACAACTGTAAGGCAACAAATTTCTGTTGTTTAAGCTGCCTGGACTGTGATATTTTGTTCCGGCAGCCTGAAGCTGCCCTTAACTTTCCTGGTTATAAATATGGCAATGAAATTCATAATTGAGGAAGCTAATGTTGATATATGTCCTTGTCTTAGTCCATTCAGGATGTTATAACAAGGTCCCACAAAGTGGGTGGCTTATAAACAGAAGAAATGTATTGCTCACAGATCTGAAGGCTGAAAAGTGCAAGATCTCGGCACCGGCAGGTGTGGTGCCTGGTGAAGCCCCCCACACACACCCTTTCACTGACAGTGCTTTCTCACTGTGATCTCACATAGTAAAAGGAGTGAATAACCTCTCTGGGACCTCTTTTATAAAGGCACTGATGCCATATGTGAGGGCTCTGCCCTCATGACCTAATCACTTCCCAAAGGCCCCATCTTCAAAACCCATCACATTGGGGATGAGTTTTCAACATACAAATTTGGGGGGGAGCACAAATATTCAGTCTATAGCAACCCATCTTGTGAAATGAAGGTCACTGAAGGACTCTGAGTTCCCCAAGCTGTAGGTGCACACTCCTAGTGTCGCTGGCTAACAGGAGAGTCTCTGTGGATTCCCTGAGACCCCTCCCTTTCAGAACAGCAGTCATTCATATCATGAAAGGCCACCAAAGCAAGGATTGGGGTGGGAGTGAGGGGCTATGTCTGCATCTTTGGGGTGGCATCTTGTCTCTCTCCATATCCAAGAGCACATTCCCTGCCACCTAAAGGGAGTCCTGCAGGACTGAGCCCTGCCCCTGCGCTGAGGCCAGCCTCCCCCCTTCCCACCACTGCCTCTACATGGAGGCTGGATCAAGCCACACACTCCTTCAACTTTAACCTGAACCCCTTTATAACAGACACCTTCTGGGGCTTCAAGGAGCCTTTTAAAAATGCAGTCTTTGTTCCCCCAAACTTCCATCCCACTTCTTTAATGCAGCAGCTGCTAGGTTTGAGGACTGTAGTTCCCAGGGCGTGAAATCCCTACCCAACACTTCTTGTGAGTCTTGCCATCAGCACAGGAAGCAAGCGTGTGTGGCACCGCACCCCTGCTCAGCGTGCTCCCAGCTTGCATCACACCTGTGAGCTTAATCTTCACTAGTTTTCCCACTCCAATTTGTACTTGTGCTAAATCAGGAAATTGGACCATAGGAAATAAAGCCTAAGTAACTGTTAACCTAAAAGACTCTTGAAGTTGGACACACTGGGGCTCTCACCTGAATCCTGACATCATATCCACACTGTGTGTTGACAACTTTTTGCTGTAAGAAAAGCAGAAAAATTAAGTCACCTTTGTTCTCTTGAGAGGCTGGTGGTAGGAGGCTCTAGAAAAGTCACAACCAAACAGCAGCAAACACTTGTGCAAATTCCATTATAGCTCACATCCTTCAGTCATGCTGCCAACAAAGCTCTCAGGGTAGGACAAGAATTGGCAAACTTTTTCTGTGAAGGGCCAGCTAGTAAATATTTCAGACCCAGTCTCTAGAGCAACTATTCAACTCTGCTTCTGTAGCATGAGAGCAAACATCGACAAAACACATATGCAAATGAATGGGCATTGCTATATTTCACGAAAACTTTATCAACACTGAAGTTTGAATTTCACATCATTTTCATGAGTCACAAAATATTCTCCTTCTTTTGATTTACTTTCAACCATTTAAAAATAGCTGAAAGCATCCTTGGCTTACAGGTCATACAAAAACAGCAGGCCAGACTTGGTCCCTAGGCCATGGTTTGCCAATCCCTGTGCTGGGAGGTAAAAGCTAATACTTGCTAAAAGCAACATTTCCTAGACTGGTATATTTCACACTCACGGTGGAGCCCTCAGACCCCAGCTGTGCAACTTTGGCACATCTGGGCCTTTCCTGGGCTGGGGAACTTGCCCGTATAAGAGAGGAGATGCTCTGCCTTCTCAGAGCCCTGTGACCCAGTACCAGGTATCACATAACTGCAGGGACAGCTTGCAAAGAGCCCAGCTCTGCTCAGGCGCAGTGCCCAGGCAAAATTCAGAGTTCCTTTACAGGTCACCCCAAGAGCCCAGTTTCTGGAACCCAAGGACCTGGGCCCTGGACTGAGAATAAAAACAGGTGAAGAAGAAAGAACAGAAAATAAGTCTCTACCACCGAGACACTGTCCCCCAGACAGTGACTTGTTCCTCCACAGCCCATGGGTTTCTGAGTACTGCACTTTCTCCAGAGAAAGGCAGACCAGGGCTCATTACATTCACAGCATCTTGTCCAGCCACCCTGAGTGAAAGCCCCTCAAGGCAGGGATAATACTGATTTTCTCCTGCTTCACCCAGAACACTTGGGCCAGGGTGAGCCATGCAAGAATGTTCCTAGAATTAAAGAATGTTCCTAGAATTTACAGGTATCGGATTTCAGAGCTGCAAGAGCGTTGGGCTGGGGCAGGGTACTGCACTCCTTCGGTATGCCAGAGAGAGAAGCAGCCCAGAGCACTCAGGGAGTCCCAGGAACTGCTGGGCTTCAGGAGGGACACGCGCTCCACATGCCCAGGTACGGGAAGACTCACAGCAGGGTCTGGTACGCAGCAGGAGAAGGGCACCCCACACTTCTCACGGCTGTAGCTGGCACCGCTGCAGTTGAAGTAGACATTGAGGTCCCAGTCTTCAGGGCCATATGCCCCACAGCACTGGTTCTGTAATCACAAAAGCTGAGAACAGTTAGGGGCTCCAGGCTAGGGCCATGGCCACCCAGCTTAGAGTGTCAGTCTTGGTAATGCTGGGATGAGTGTGCCCCGATCTGCTCTACAGAGAAACTGAGGCCCATGCCGCTACCTCCCACATGCACAGAGGTGCTAGAAGATGTCACGTAGGTAGCCCTGTAAGAAGTAATGGGGCCATGACACCTCCTTGGTCTAACACACAGGGCTGGCTCAGTGGTGCCCCCTGGCCTTGGCCCAGGGCACTGTGTGCTCAGCTCCAGATCCTCCTTAGCCTGCAGCTTTCCCTTCCTTCCCCTCCTCACAAGCCCTCAGCTGGCTTTTCCTCTTCTGTGAGGTCCCCCTGCACCTCTGATGTAGTCCCCTACTCCACCCAAGAGAACACTTCGTGGGCAGGGAGTCCCCCTCCCTGAGAAACTTCCAAGCTGGCCCTAGTTGCCTTTCTGCCTCTTTACAAAAAACAGCTGCTGGATGTTTATGCCCAAGCAAAGAGTTACGACTGGGGTGAACAGCAACACAATCGAAGCTCAGCCCCCACCTAGGGTCTCTGCCCTCCCCTCACCACTATCTGATGTAGCTGCAAAGAAAATCCTCATTTGTCTAAAAAGACTGTAAAACCAATTACACTGAAAGCATCCTTGTGAAGTTAAGGACATCTCCACCTGAGAGCAGAATTTGCTTCCACACTTGCCCTCACAGCGACACGGTTGTGGCAATAATCACAGCGGATGACAACTGGGGTTTCAGACTTTTTTTTTTTTTTTCACTTCTAAGGTAAAACACCATCTCCCCTCAGCCCCACCCCTTCATTGTTACCCCAGGAAGCTCCATAATATACTGGATTCCTCTAGGAAGTTTTATTTTTAAAAAGAAAAGAAGGAGATGGAGAAAACTACAATGTCTTTAAGGCGATGCAGGGAGGAGCCACCCCAGCATGCTGAAACCAGAAAGCCCAAGTCTATGAGAAAATGAAAACGGACAGAGAACTGTGGCAGAACAGAAAAGGAATAGAGAGGGACATCGGACTTGGTGACTAGGATTTGGTGACTTTCACAGACTAATGCAGGTCAATAATAACAATACTGGAAGGATCTTTGGTCGCATAAATGGATTTTGCTGGATCCCACGATACATGAAATAAGGGTAAACAAGTTTTGGTTAATAATGAGAGTGAATCATAGTTATTTTTAATGCTCTCTAATCTATTTTCTTCTCAGAACCGATCCATACAAAAAGTTCTGGAGGAAGCTGGGCTCTCTGGCAGTGCACAGATCAAACGAGAGCCTTGCACGGGCCGCTGTGCCAGGGAGTGGGTTCCTCCCAGGGGGGTGAGAAGGCTGCGGTCCAAGCCTCCAGGTGCAGCTGCACACGACGGGGGACGGGGACCAGATGGAGTAAAGGCCACAGCCTGGAACTGCTTGGAAAAGCCCCAGGGACATATTCTGGGAGGGGAGGTTACATTCCTCTTCTTCTAAGGAAGTTTCCTCCAGGCAGCTCTGCCTTCTCAAACAGGAAGGGGAAAAGGTCCCAGGGAGGAAGGGGACAGGAATAGTCTCAGGCAATGAGTCACAGGCCTGTGGGGAGAAGTTCTGCCCAAAGGTCCCAGAGAAGACTGTGTGCCTATTGGGCAGAGTTGGAGAGATCTAGGCTCAAAGGGGGAGGGGAGTACTGGGCCCCTGGGGGGTGGTGGCCACCAGTGTTGCTAGACTGGCCTGCCCAATCCAAATGGGGGAGGTCACACAGAGAGAGAGCCTGGATGGCGAGGCAACCATGAGCAGGCCAAGCTGAAATGACTACAGGCAGAGGTGGCATGTTCTGTGGCCTCCCTGCCGCTTTGTGTCCCCCACTAGCCTCGGCTTTGGAGCGTCACAGACAGACTAAAGGCAGGAGAGCACGTGCTCTACCAGGGAGCCCGCCGGGGCAGTGCTTACGGCTTTCTGAAGGGAGTCGATGAGGTTCTGCAGGTCAATATCGTCCCGGTAGGATCTGATGTTACTCTCAAAGAACTCCCGGAACCGGTCCCGTACCCAGTCCTGGAACAGGAAAGCCAGCACGGCCACGGCCAGCTCCAGGAAGAAAATGAGCACGATGGCACCGCAGAACTAGAAAGGGACGAGGACGGGAGCGGCGTCAGCACACAGCAGCCCAGCTCAGCCACACACGCAGCGTCTGACCCGGAATCGCTGCTTGCTACAGAGCAGGGGCTGCCCAGGAGTCTCGCATCATTAGCTGGGTGACTGGGACTTCGCCGCATCTGTAAGATGGGGATCTTCATCCCCACCCACATCACTACATTGTCGGTAACAGCCAAACAAGTGAAAAAGTGTGAGAAAACTCCAAGCCAACGCATCAATCATTTCCGATGAAGGGGCTCTCCTCCCTGGACAAGAAGGAAACCCTATCACAGGAAGGAGTGGCTGTCCTACCCTACCAGGCTGTCAGCTCCTTTAGGACACAGCCTGAGCCCTGGACATGACCTGACCACTCTCCATGCACACATGACCATCCAAATTCCTAGAAATCTAATCTGTCACCCGCACTTTAGGGGATGAGGAAACTGACGCTCACTCAGGTACATAGTTTGCCTGAGGTCACATAGCTCATTCAGGACATGTGAGTTCTCTGGCAGGGTTCTTTACAACTTCAGAGGTGCCAGTGTTATCAATACCCATTCTATATGAGTATATGATAGTCAGATGCATAAAGACCTCTCCAGAAGTACCATTGCCCCTGGCCACAAACAGTGGTGACATTCTGCAAGGGCCCACTGCAGCCACAGGTCCACACCCCCTCCCATCCAGGCAGACTCCCCGCCTGCAGGGTTTGTGTTCTGACAGCCATTATCTTTGGCCATACAGGTCAATAAGCAGCTTTTCTACAACTGACAAATTTGGAAGAGTCTTTCAAAGACAGACAGACGAGAAACACACACATACACACACATACAACATGCATACACACAAGGCCCTCCAAAATGTAACCTCTGTTCACGTAGAAGAAAGATGCTAAGCATAATACTGTTTAAGAGGAAAAAAGTTAGAAAACGTACGTGTGCTTTGCTTCTTAAATTAAGTCTAGGAAAGAGAAAGCTTGATCTAATAAAATTCAACAAATAATATACTGCAAAAAATGATAATGTGTTTTCCCCACTAGGTGCTATTTAATTTTAACTGAAAGCATTTAAAAATGAACTTGTATCTAAATATAAAACTAAACTCTTAGTTACTTGTAGTTCTGCCAGGAAATTAAGGATTCTGCATTGCACATCAACAGATTCGCACACCCTAGAGGAGGGAAATGATTTCTTAACGTTACCGACAGCATCTTTTGATCTTAGCCAGGAAGGGGAAAGGTGTGGAGCAAACGAACAATTCTTTTAGAGCTTCTGAGGGAAGATAAAAGCAAAGGGGGGGTGAAGCAACTGACTTCTCCCACCAGGGGCTGAAACCAGAGGGTCCAACTTCTCCCGGGGTGAGGAGCCAGCGCATCTACAATTTTTTCCCTGAAATCTTACCATTCAGTGGGGCAGCAGGGAGGGTACAGAGGGCTGCCTCCTGCTTCCACTGCCGGGTCTGGGGGAGGCTTATAATAACTGTTACCTGCTCTGGCCAGATAACATATAAGCCTGCCCAGCAAAGCCCCTACCCCTACCCCCATCCCGCCCCACCCCCACCCCTGTGGCCACTCACAAAGTTCAGCAGGCAGATGTTCTCCCGCAGGGCCCCCACACAGCCGGCGAACCCCAGCGTGAACATCACCACACCCACAATCAGGACCAGCACCACGGGGTCGATTCCGTGCATCCGCGTCACCTTGGTGAGGTCAGACAGCACACCCTGTAAGAGGCAGAGAAAGTGGGGCAGTACCGGCCTCAAAGGGGAATCTAGGGTGCCCTGGGCGGCTGGGCTATGTCCAGAACTCAGGATAGAGACCTGCCTTCCCAGGCTCAGTCCTCTCATTAAAATCCAGGCCAGAGTCTGACCCCTGCTTACCCCGTGAAAGGCCCCTCTGCCCAGCAGATCCTTGCCCACCTCAGCCCCGGCGAACCCCAGTGTGAACATCACCACGCCCACAATCAGGACCAGCACCACGGGGTCGATTCCGTGCATCCGCGTCACCTTGGTGAGGTCAGACAGCACACCCTGTAAGAGGCAGAGAAAGTGGGGCAGTACCGGCCTCAAAGGGGAATCTAGGGTGCCCTGGGCGGCTGGGCTATGTCCAGAACTCAGGATAGAGACCTGCCTTCCCAGGCTCAGTCCTCTCATTAAAATCCAGGCCAGAGTCTGACCCCTGCTTACCCCGTGAAAGGCCCCTCTGCCCAGCAGATCCTTGCCCACCTCAGCCCCAGGGACCCTTACATGAAGCATTCCTGGTCTCCACCTAGGCTGTGAGTTCACCGTAGGCACACCCCAGGCTTCTTTTGTAGCCTGCTTCTGCCTGTGGTGAAAGGGGGCCCTGTGGTGCATGGTTAAACTGGCCCCCTGGATGGCTGACTTTGTACCCAACTTTGCACCCAATTAATGGAGAACCCCACCATCCTGAGATGAAAGCCTCCATATGAACACTATCATGGAAAACACACCCACAGCGGGCAGTTGTGGGTGGAAGGCAACGCTGTCCATAGAACCTTCTGTGATGATGACGGACAGATTCTACGTCTTCACTCTCCGAAGTGGTGGACACTGGCCACACGCACTGGTGAGCACGTGAAATGTTGGGCACTGAAGAACTGAATTTTAATTTGTATTTAACTTCAATTAATTTAAACATAAATACAGACAGGCACATGTGGCTAGTGGCAACCACAATGGACACAGCAGTTCTATGGGAGTGAAAGGAGGAAGGAAAAAGAGCAGCCAGCCCAGAGGCCCAGTCCAGGCTGCCAGGGAAGCCGCGCCAACCTCGGCTGCAGTCCCGGAGGCGGCCACACGGTGGCGCTGTGAGTTACGGATTGCACAAGCTTCCACATCACTAGCAAAGGGACACTGCTCCGCAGCTCTTGTCCTTTAGGGGTTCACAGGCCACCTTGAAGGTCCCCACCTAAAGGCAGGCCTTATACTGTTCCTAAGGCCATGGCAGGAAAGCCCATGTACCTAAGTGTTCCTGCCTCCTTCTGGAAGCAAAGAGAGGTTCCACCAAAGGAACAGAGGGCCCTGGGCCTGAGGCTCTTGAAGGAAGCTTTAGTCCCCACTGTTCCCCACCTGGTCTGCTCCCTCCTGCTCTTCTCCTCCTCCCTCCCTGGCCCTGTGCCCTTTTTAGCCCTTGCTGCCTCCCCAGCAACCACCCCCCAACAGGGCAAAAGGCAGGACACCACAGCTCCACCCTGGCCACATCCGGTCTGTTCCCTTCCTGGAGCTCCAACTGCCCCCTTGTCCTTCGAGACAGTAAAGGCCTGGTCTCCCCTCCTCGCCTCTCCTCCACAGGCTGGACCTGCCCCTGCCCCACGGAGCACCCAGTGGGCACATAACCAGCCCTGCTCCCAGGGGTTCTTTCTGTGGGTGAGGATACGAGATTCAGGAATAAATATGACTGTGTTCAGGAGCCTGCTCACTTGCTCCCAGGGACACAAACGGGATTAAGAAGGTATCCCTGGAACAGCAGAGAAGGCTCTCCAAACTCACAGAGCCCAGAAGCCACCTGGCCCAGCCTTGGCCTCCAGCAGCACACCCTACCATGGGGAAGCAGAGCCAGGCCGCAGCACCTGGTTCTGTGAAGATTAATGACTACAGACCCTCACGTCACACAAGAAAAGCTTGTTGTCAGGGAACAACTGGACGAGGGGACAACTAAAGTCAAATGAATGTGATTTGGGCTGTCTGATGTTCAGGGTCCTGGTGACAGTACACCTACCTTTTCGCTCCATGCCCACAGCCCAACTCCAAGGAAGACAGCTCCAGCCAACTAAGCAGAAGCAGGGGAGAGAGAAAGAAGAAAATTAGGTCAGTGACCAGCGCCATGAACATGCTTCATACAGCAAAGTCCACACTGTTAGGGGATGCTCCTGGCCCATGCCCAAGGCGGACCTTGGCCTCTGCAGATGACAGGGGCTCTCTGCCCCACAGCAAAGGGACGTTGAGGCTCTGCAGATAACTTCCTCGGATGTTTAGACAAACTCCTTCAACCCCAGATGGCCCCATGCCCCAGAGAGTAGAATAGAGATTTCAGAGCAGATGATGGAGTCAGAGACAACAGGCAGCACCCTGTTTCTTCCCCATTCTGCAGCCCACCCACCCCCCAACTCATTTTAATGCACTATCTGGTGTATAAGAAGATATCACCCCCTTGTGAGGGCTGCCCCGGGTGCCTTTGGAGGCTCAGTACAGGAGAGCTCTGCATAGGACTGGGCACCACTGCAGGCTGAGGGCATGGGGGAGCAGAGCCCAGCACCACTGTCAGGCCTCCAGCCCTGAAGACAGACTCCAAGTACAGACAAGCAAGACCAGGCCATTTGCTGGCCAGGGCTGAGCCTCCTCCCCTTGGCACCTATACATGCACACTCAGGAAATGCTGAGTTATTATCTACTGAATTGAAATAGGCCTCCGCTAAGCAAAGAGGGCACCCCAGAAGAGAAGAACCCCGCAACCCCTACCTCTCACCTACAGGAACCCCCTGGGGCTAAACTATCCCATGTGCACCACAACAGAGAGCGGACCACCCAAATCCATCACACACATTCCTTAACCAGGAGGATTTTTCCATATAAAACGAAACACATCATGGTCTCTGCCAATAAAGCCGCCTCCTATTTTTCTGTGTAACTACTTTACACCATGCTGGCATTTAGCTGCCATTTATCAGTACCTCATAATAAATAACAGGGCTAGATTTCTCTATGACTATCAACTTTCCAAAGTGCATTCTCAAGCTTTAAGCCTTTTCTGCCCATTTTATTCAATACTAGCCCCATGTGGCTGGAGCAGGAAGGAAAGTCCTTTTCAAGAAAGCCCCAGGAGGTCTCAACATCATTTAGATCACAGATCACTTTCGGAAAATGCACAGGAGCCCAACATTTTGTATGGAATTTCAGAGGGTTCACAGCTTCCCACTGCTGGCACCCAGAGTGGTCTGTGAATACCAAGTGAAGAAGCCCTGCCAAAACCAGATCCCTCCATTTTACAAAGCAGAACATGGTGGACCAGAGTGGTCCAAGACCAAAATGCCAGGCAGTGGGGAGAAGGGCCCAGACCCCAAGTCTCAGTTTATTCACTCATTGGTTCAACAAATATTCCTTGAGTATATCCTGAGTGCCAGGTACTCTCCTGAGCACTGGATACAGCCTGAGCCAAGCAGACAACATCTCCTGGGCTGCTGGTGCTCGCGCTTCTGGGGGCTTATCCTTGATCTTTTCTACCATACACACCGATTTCCTGCTTTTCAGTTCTGCTGAATTAACTTCATGATAAGGTCTCTGTTTTTTTTGGCAGGGTGCATGACCACTTGCCTTCCCTCCCCAAGTGTCACACTGGCATGGGGAGCAGGACCGAAGGGGATGGTCACCACCCTCTGAATCCTGTAGGCTTTCATCCCCCCCACTCAAGGCCCCAGTGGCTCACTCCCCTCTTCCTTCAACCACAGTTCTCCGACACACTCAGCTTCAGGGATACCAAGCACATGCTCATGACTGTCCTCCTCCTCCCCTGTCAGACCCCCCTAAATGCCGGTGAACCTCTTCACTCAGTCCTGGACCCTTTGCCATCCCCTGAGCCCTCTGGATGAAATCAGAATTCATGTGGCTTTAAATACTACCTGTGCACTGCTGACTCACAAAAGTCAAATACCCTAATGTCTCCTTGACTTGCTCAGCTAAGTTACCTGATATTTTCATCTTAACGTGCCCCAAATGGAGACTTGGTCTCCCAACCTCTTCCCCCTCTCATTAAACGGCACCACCGTCCACCCACTCACGTGTTTGAGAGAGAAAACCCAGACCTCATGCTCCGTGCCTCTCCTTCCCCCTTTCCCACATTAAGCCACCAGGACCCTCTGTTGGTTCTACCTTCAACATACACAGTCCATTCGACCAGTGTTCGTCCTGACTTTCTGCCCCCATCTGTCCCCACTTGCTTGCTCAGCTCTGGAACCTGCAGGGGCCTCCTCGCAGATCCCCAATCAACTAGACTGATCCTTTAAACACAGAGCAGTTCATTCCCCTCCTCAAAACTCTCCAGCGTCTTCTCTTCACTACATAGCTAAAACTCAGCCTCTTTCCATGGCCCATCAGGACTTAGGCAGCTTCTGCTCACATCTCCAGCATCACCTCCTACCCAGCTCCCCAGGCTACCACGACATTCTTACTGTGTCTTGAACTCACCAAACTCATCCCTGCCTCAGAGCCGTGACACTGTTCCCTTGGCCTGGAATGTTCTTCCTCCATATCCATTTCAGACCTTCATTCCGATCTTCTCATATTTCACCTGCTCAGAGACACCTGCTTTTCCCATCCTAGGGGGAATGACCCCCTGCTCATCACGCATGGCCTCCTTCTGTTTCATTTTCTTCACTGATCTTAGACCACATGGGCTGTTTGCCTATCTGTTGTCTGTTTTGTTCCGGGATATGTCCCAGCCACTTGAAGAAGGACTGGGCACATAACAGGTGCACAGCAGGCACATGTAAGTGACAACAAAACCCAAAGATCAGAGCAGACTTCACCTGTGGTCCTTCTAGCTCTCCTCCCAGGCACATGTCTGGGCATAACTCAATCCAAAGTCAGAACAGCAAACAAGGGCCAAGTCCCACACGGGGGCATCAGCCTAGGATCAGAGTAGAACGGGACCTGCAGGCTGCTCCATCCCCCATCCACTGTTCCCAACAGACATTCTGGCTCCTGTCTGACCACTTTCCATGACACTCCACACACCCCACGGCGCCATGTGGGACAGGTGAGACAACCCATCCTTGAAAACATTCAACCAAACCACCAACTGGAGCTCTCCTCTCACCTCCCCACTGCACGTCCCACTTCACCCCTCTCTCTCCTCCCCACTGCACCTCGCAGTTCACCTCTCTGTCTCATCCCCACTGCACCTCGCAGTTCCCCTCTCTCCCCTCCCCACTGCACCTCGCAGTTCCCCTCTCTGTCTCCTCCTCACTACGCCTGGCAGTTCCCCTCTCTGTCTCCTCCTCACTGCGCCTCGCAGTTCCCCTCTCTCTCCTCCTCACTGCGCCTCCAAGTTCCTCTCTCCCCTCCCCATTGCACCTCGCAGTTCCCCTCTCTGTCTCCTCCCCACTGCGCCTCGCAGTTCCCCTCTGTCTCCTCCTCACTGCACCTCGCAGTTCACCTCTCTGTCTCCTCCCCACTGCATCTCGCAGTTCACCTCTCTCTCTCCTCCCCACTGCGCCTCGCAGTTCCCCCCTCTCTCTCCTCCCCACTGCGCCTCGCAGTTCCCCTCTCTCTCCTCCTCACTGCACNGCACCTCGCAGTTCCCCTCTCTGTCTCCTCCTCACTGCACCTCGCAGTTCCCCTCTCTCTCCTCTCCACTGCGCCTCGCAGTTCCCCTCTCTCTCCTCCCCACTGCGCCTCGCCTCGCAGTTCACCTCTCTCTCCTCCCCACTGCGCCTCGCAGTTCACCTCTCTGTCTCCTCCTCACTGCACCTCGCAGTTCCCCTCTCTGTCTCCTCCTCACTGCGCCTCGCAGTTCACCTCTCTGTCTCCTCCCCACTGCACCTCGCAGTTCCCCTCTCTCTCCTCCTCCCCACTGTGCCTCGCAGTTCCCCTCTCTCTCCTCCTCCCCACTGTGCCTCGCAGTTCCCCTCTCTCTCACCGTGTCTTCTAAGTCTGTCTTTTCCCACATTACAACCAACCTCATCTCCACATACATTTCTACACTTCAGTGATCCATTCTGAGGTGCTGTTTTAATTTTTCCACTAGATGACTCCAGTGGATTGAATTGTGTCTCCCAAAGTACATGTGTTATAAATTTAATCCCCGCTGTGACTGTCAGGTGGCTGGGAAATCCTTTCACGGTAAAATTGAAAGGTGGGCCTTGAAGAGATGATGAGATTGTGAGGACCGTACTCTAGTAAATGGATCAATAAGTGGAGAGTGGCCGTGGGCGTGGTTCTGATGGCTTTAAAAGGAGAGCCTGTGAGAAGCTCTTTCTCTCCTGCTCCACCATCCCCATGTGATATCCTTAGTTGCTGAACAGAGTCACCAACAAGAACAAGGCCCTCACTAGATATGTTCCCTGGGCTGGCCAGGTAGCTCCACTGGTTAGAGCACAGCTTTATAACCCCAAGGTCAGGGGTTCAGATCCTTCCTACCTCCCCCACCAAAAAATAAAACAATACTAAGAAAAAAAAAAAACCNCACTGCACCTCGCAGTTCCCCTCTCTGTCTCCTCCTCACTGCACCTCGCAGTTCCCCTCTCTGTCTCCTCCTCACTGCGCCTCGCAGTTCCCCTCTCTGTCTCCTCCTCACTGCACCTCGCAGTTCCCCTCTCTGTCTCCTCCTCACTGCGCCTCGCAGTTCCCCTCTCTGTCTCCTCCTCACTGCGCCTCCAAGTTCCTCTCTCTCCCCTCCCCATTGCACCTCGCAGTTCCCCTCTCTGTCTCATCCTCACTGCACCTCGCAGTTCACCTCTCTCTCTCCTCCCCACTGCGCCTCGCAGTTCCCCTCTCTGTCTCCTCCTCACTGCACCTCGCAGTTCACCTCTCTCTCTCCTCCCCACTGCGCCTCGCAGTTCCCCTCTCTGTCTCCTCCTCACTGCACCTCGCAGTTCACCTCTCTGTCTCATCCTCACTGCGCCTCGCAGTTCCCCTCTCTCTCCTCCTCTCTGCGCCTCGCAGTTCCCCTCTCTGTCTCCTCCTCACTGCACCTCGCAGTTCCCCTCTCTGTCTCCTCCCCACTGCACCTCGCAGTTCCCCTCTCTCCCCTCCCCATTGCACCTCGGAGTTCCC